CTCTCTCCATCCTGTCTCACGTCTCCATCCCCCTTCCCTTGCCCCCACCCCCCCAGGCCAATCACGAAGTCCCCCATACCCATACCCCCCCCCAAGAGAAGGCCTCCCGCCGACCAATCACAACACGAGAAAAAAATATTGCGTCATTCCTCCATTCTCAAACCCCGACCCGAACGACTTTCCTGATTGGCCGCGTGTCCGAAAGGGGGCGGGGACACCGTGGTACTCCAGTGTACCGCTGGCAGAGGTAGAGTGAAGACGTCTCGTCCGTGGGAACATCACTCTTATCAGCTCCTCTCGCCTCTTTTTGCCCCAAATCCTTGCATATCGAAACACGTGTGATACGGTGACAGGTGTGTAGACGTGGTGTAGTGTGTGGATGGCGGGAAGACAACCCAGGAAATCGGTTTTTTTTAGGGGTTGGCATTTTGTTGGAAGGGCACTGCATGTGTTGTTATCGAGGATGGCAAAGGGGCGTTTCTGTTACCTGCTGCTACCTGTGCTCTAAGCCTCCATGCGCGGGAAACGTGGCCAAGAAGCATCAGTTAAAACACATCTTTCTTTAAAAAATCGTCTTTGTTATCTTATAATGGGCGCCGTGGCCTTCGAGATGTTGTGATTATCGAATCTCGTTTTAATGAGAGTGGCGGTTTGCGAATCGGATTAATCTGGTGTGTTTGTTGACTGGGGTTTAAATATGAATGACATTTTGAGATTTCGTGATGTTGGCGTTATTGAAGGAAGATGGGGGGAGGGGGAGGGGGGAGGGGGGATGTGTCACCTTCACGACAGGAATCACGTGATTGTATCATGTTGCTAGGCTCGTAGCACACCACACGCGCACATCACGTGGCCGCGTCGTAAGTGCACACGGATGGAAGACGCCGACGTACTACTACTCACTCACTCACTCACTTCACCAGTTCACATTTACTCACCCAATTGACGCGTTTACTCACTCTCATGCACATTCATTCACTCGTACTCATTCATACGCCCTCACTCTTACTCACATTTACTCATGCATATTTACTTAAAGTCACTCGCCATTCACAAATACTTAAATATTATCAATATGCGCCTCACTCTTTACTCAGTCACACTCATATCACTCACATTCAGTCATCACTGACTCATATGCATTACTCACCAATTTATGCATTCACACTCACTCTCATTCACTCATTTATGCATTCACACTCATCTCTCACTGACACGATCACTACATACATTAAATCACTCACTCTCTCAACACGATTGCACTAATTCACGATAATCACAACACCACTCTCACTCACAACATTCACATCTCACTCACACACAATCCACACATCATCTTACTCAATCTATCATTCACATACGACACACACACACCACTCACGCACACATACACACACATACACACACACACTCACACACGATACACACACACACTCACACACATACACACACACACTCCACATACACCCACACACACACATACATATCAACACACACCATCAACAACACTATCCACACTCACACAACTACACACACATACACTCACACATCACACACTACACACACACACATACACTACACACATCACACCACACACACAACACACACACACGACAACACACACACACACACACACACAAACATCACACCTCCACACTATCACACACACATCACACGACCACACACACACACACACTACACACACTGCACACACACACACACTACCTCACACACACTGCACACTCACACACAACATACATTCACACACACACCACACACACACACACACACACCACCACACACACACACACACACAACACACACACACAGCACACACACACACACACACACACACATAACACACACAACACATACACACACACACACACACACACACACACACACACACACACACACCACACACACACACACACAACACACACACACACACATCACAACAACGCATCACATACACACACACACACACACACACACACACACACACACACACACACACATACACACACACACACAACACACACACACACACACACACACACACAACACACATAACACATGCACACCACACATACACACACACACACACACACACACACACACACACACACACACACACACACATACACACACCACACACAACACACACACACATGCACACACGAGTCCAACACACACATCCACTACACACATGCACAACCACACTGCCACACACAGCGCACACATTGCACACACACATGCACACACACATGCAACAGCACACAGGCGCTACGTATGACTATTCTGCCCTAATCGACAAACCACACGACATGCACAACACACACCACAGACACACCAGCACACTCACAGCTACCACCATGACAAAGCATGAAGCGACACACAATCACACACCACACACACACACACAACACGAACGACACACACAACACCACCACACACACCACACACACAACACAACACACACAACACACATCGCACACAGCACACTTAGCGCACCACAACACACCACAAACACAACACCACCACTCACACATCCACACACACACACACACACCCACACACACACACACACATACACACACACATACAACCTGAGCTGGTCACGGCGTCCACCTCTACCACTACCCCAACCACCCCCCCCACCTCCTCTTTACACCACACAAGTGACTCAAACACAGTGGGAATTTTCCTCCTACTGAGCGAGAGAGAGGAGAGAGAGAGAGAGAGAGAGACAGGAGAGAGAGAGAGAGAAGAGAGAGAGAGAGAGAGAGAGAGGGAAGCGGGATAAGCCGCTGGAGGGGAGTGAAAGACCGGGAGTGAAATGAGTAATCGGTGCTGTTTGGCTTATTTCGGGCTGACTGTCAGCGCTCTCCCTCTCCGCTCTCTCCCTCCTCTCTCTCTCTGCTCTCTCTCTCTCTCATCCTTCTCTGTCGTCTCATCACTCGTGCATGCTTCTTCCTCTATCTTCACAAACACACACACAAACACACAGGTCTCTCTCTCATCTCTTTCTTCTTCTGCATCTCTCTTCCTCTCATGTCTGTCGCGCTGCGCACCCACTACCACCAACAAATCAACGCGCCTCCTACTCTCTCCATCTCTCTCCCTCCTCTACAAAGCTACCACCACACATACTCTACGTCTCCCTCGGCTCCCACTGCCCTCCCACCTCCTCCTCTTCGACTCGTTCTCCTTCCTTCTTCTCTGCTCGTCTGCCTTCTCTCCTATCACACACATCACATCGCATCTCCATCTCTTCCGTCACTCAGACTCACAATAAAACACACACGCGCAGACACATTGTCTTCGCTCGCTCACTCCTACATCTAGCATCTGCGCCTGCGTGTTTCGTCGCACCGTCACAAAGAATCCGGCGTAATTGCCAGTGTGACCAAATAGTCCGCACTACTCCCTCCATCTCCTCTCTTACTTCGGATTAGCCACTTTGCATGCTCATTGGCCCACATAGAGGTAGGTTAAGAGAATAAGGAAAATATCGAGATAGTATGGTGCAGTACCATTGTCATCGTTATTTCCTGGAAACTGTTTGTGCTGCGTGTTCGAAAGGGTACGAAAGAGGGGAATGTATGAGAGATATTCAGTGCCGTTCGAGGTATACACTGGAGATATTTTCTTCTCTTTACTTTTTTGTCTCTATCTGAGCTATTTTGTTATTGGTAAAGATCTGTTATTCTATGTATTTTCTAATTCATGAGTCTACTGTTAGTATTGCAAGAGCATACTTTCTTGTTATCAATGATATTGCAAATTGATTAAGTTTGTCTGTGTAGTTCTAAATGTATTGAATGTGTCTGTTTTCATTGTTTTTTTTTTTTTTCAATTTTTGTAATATAGTTTAAATTGGATAGTGAGAGACTTTAAAGATTTGAGATGTTTATAGGATTGTAATAACTGGTTTTTGTAAAATTATGTGTAAAGCAAATAACAATGTCTTAAATTTTCTCCTGTCTTTATAACGATGTTATTGAGAACGATAAATTGGAATGAGATTATGTTTATTTATACTTGCCTCCTAACATTACAGAGAGAGTACCGAATAACAACTATATTCGATATTTTCTTCATTATTAAGTACTAATAAGAACCATGAACAAACGCATGATTTCTTCATTATTTGTTTACTACGAGACCAATGAACACGCATTCTTACAATTATTGTACTATACAGCAACCATGAACACGGATGATTTTCTTCATTATTTGTACTATAAAGAACCATCGAACAACGCATGATTTTCCTTCATTATTTGTAGCTACAACCATGAACCCAAAGCCATGTAAGTCACATTCTTCCATTATTTGTACGACAACCATGAACAACCGCATGTCCTTCAATATATTTGGTAACTATTAAAGAACCATGGACAACATGCTCCAACATATCTTGTGCAATGTAATTTATGAACTACAACCATGTAACAAACGCATGATTCTTCATTATTGTGAGTATAATCTATAAATAGAACCATGACAAACACTCATTCTCTCATTATTTGTAGCAATATATTATAAGAAATCCGAAGAATTCGAACGCATTCTTCATTATTTGCTATACTTATAACCACTAACCAATGTCAAACAACGCATTCTCTCATTTATATTTTGTACTCATAATATATAAGTAAACCATGAAATCATACGGTATTCTTCATATATTTGTAAACTACAACGACATGAACAACGTATTCTTTCATTATTTTATGTACTACAACCATGAAACAACGCATTCTATCATTATTCTCCTGTACATACAAGTAGACGCAGTATGGATTAAGTAAACAATCTGCCTGATGTTTTCAGTCTTCATTATACTTTTGTACTAATAAGAGCAAATGCACGATTGAAACAACTCATGATCCAATTTAACGAATTAGACGCATCCGATTCAGTTTACACCAACACACACCATCACACACCAACAACGTTAGGAGTCAAATGTTATTAGCTTACAGTGGAACCAA